TTCAGATATATATGTATATATATATATGTATGTATATATATATATATGTACGTATATATATATATATATATATATATGTATGTATATATATATATATATATAATTTCCCGTATTTCTTTCTTTTCTTTTTCTTTTTATAGCCGTTTTTCGAGTAATATTTCGCAATCCCCAGAGAGATGCTTATGTTTTTGGAATTCGTTATAGGTCCTCCTGACATAGAACTAATTTCCCGCCGGTCTCTTGCACAGTTCGTTAAATCTCTTAGATATGAGTGAATTTCTAAAATGACCGGAAATCAATGATGAAATTTACCCCTGTCGAGGAAAGTTTGGAGTTAATGTCGAAGGATGGCTGACGTGCATCAGTGGTAGCCTCTTTTTGGGAGAGATTAAGAGAGAGCATTGGAAAACAAATTTAGGGGGAGGTGGTGAGCAAATGATCCTTAGGCAAACAGTTCTAGATTTCGGATTGAATTTCTAGAGAATGGCATCTCTGGTTTGGATGTAGATTAATGTTGCGGTTTCTTCATGAATTTGCGATTCGTTCTCTGCTTTATCGTGCAATACATACCATCACCGCACTCGAGAAGAATGAAAATTTCTACAGCTTCAGAATTTCTGTCTTTTAGCACATGTATTATAACTTGGATGTATTTTTGTAAAGGGAAGCTATCAGTGGTACAATAAACAGTACACGAGATGGATGAAATAAAGCAATAAACAACCATGATGTGTTGTCATTGAAATTGGCCAATCGCAACAAAGTTCAACCGTCACGTGATAATTTTAAATCGTACCGGGAAGAGCTGGACGCTTCGAACAGATTTGAACGAGTTTTGAACGTGCTCCACAATTTTTTCAGGAATTTGCAGATTTACCTTAGAAGCACGATATTGAATAAAATGGCTTGTTAAGATCTTCATTCAACATGGCAACTTCAAACTGTGAAGGTAAGTTTTCACGAGCTTTCTGAGACTGTGTTTTTATCCCGGCATTGACCTTTGTCTGGATGAAGTGGGGGATCGCTTGTTCGTGGAAGCTTTTACGAAATCTATATTTAAGAATTATAAACCCTGTGTTAAAGTTGATAAGTTTTCATTATCATTGAATAAAACCTTGGCTCCTACGTTTCAGAAGGTCAGTCATGATCAGAGAGATTTTTCATGAGCGTAAGATTACGTTTAACTGTCTTTGGCAATGTCTACTTCCATTTCGACAAACTGTTTGAATTCAGAATTCTGCCTTTGTAGCGTTTCCCAGTGCTATTGGCGGTGTGTCCAGTCTCATTGAAGACGAGAAGTTCGATTTTGACGTGCCACTCTCGCCAATTGATTTTGATGTTCGGTAAGTTACACTGCATGTGTGTATCAATTGTTGGTTATCAACCAGAAAGTACGTAAATAGCAATTGTTCCCACAAGATCGGTTGAATTACAGTTGCTTACATGCCATGGCTCCAGCAGGAAATATGAAATATGTTTGTTATTTCTATGTTTTTCGACACACAAATGTGCGTTAGGTCTTAGACATATACCGGTGGTTGAAGGAGTATACAAAAGTACAAATTTTTCTCGAAGTCTCAATGTAAAAAGGAAGTCAAATTCCTTACCTGCTCTAATATGAATGCAACCATTTGGCGGCAGGGGGGGAGGGGCATTGGGGCACTCAAATGAAAGGGGAAGGGATACTTGTCAGAGTGTGCAAAATCCCATTGCAGCTATGAAGATCAATGAATTTTTTTTGTAACATCAATACCTAAAGAAATCATAGTAAACTGTCTCTGCTTCAAAGTGGTCTCTTGAAGGAGTGAAAAAAAGCTTGGCTTGTGCCAAGAGTTTTCTTCCTGAGGGACTTAATCTAAAATTTTGGATGATCATTCTCTTCTATTTAGAAGTCTACCCTTCTTTCCAAGACTAACCAGCAACCAGGCATGCTCCTCAATGAAGTAAAAAACCTCCCACTCAAAATTCTGCCTTCACCCAAGAGTTATCTTAAAATTGTTTTACTGGTACATGCTTTTGAAGAACAACTTACTGAAAAAGATTGAGGCCTGTACTAGAAAATATTGGCCATCAGTCTTGGCAGCATGGATTAAGGGTGGTAAGGTCCATACAAAGTTATCTATTAGGGCCAATATTTCCTAGTATGGCTCATGCAAGGAAGATTGATAAGAAGTTTATTGCATGGCACTTAGACCAAAGTTGTTTATTTTGAATTTTCCAGCTTTCGCAAATAAAAGTGCAAGGATAATGACCTTTTTTACAAAATCTCGACCAATCAAAAACCAATCAGAACACTCAGATGTACCTCAAGACTACCTCACCATATAATAATACATAATGCTTTTTCTCCTTTTTCTTTATCAGAGAGATTAATGCCGATGAAGAAGATGAGGATGAAGTCTTCTTTGGTCCTGTGGGTCACAGAGAAAGATGTGTTACTGTTAACAGTGGTGTTCAAGATGATGAAAAATTTAAGCCCTTGAGTCCCCTCAATGGTGAACAAATTGCAGAACTGTTTAAAGAAGCCACTGCAGTGTCAATATTCATCAAAAATTCTTCCTTAACCCAGAATAATGATAATATGACAGATGAAAAAGAGAATCGTGATATATGTAAGCTTTTATCACAAACATTTACTGTCCAAGATGATAAAAAAGCTGTGTCAGCTGAAAGAGATCTAGAAAATGACCAAAGAACTACAAAATCTGCTTCTTCCCCTGAGTCGGCAAGCAGTATTTCACCACAGTCAACAGAATTTCCAGATGACATGAACTTCCCTGTTACTCCAAGGAGAATTTTGCAAGAAAGCAACACCCAAAGTGGAGTGTTTCAGTCACCCTTCAAAGCACGAAAAGCACGTCCTTTGCAAAATACTTCTAAGTTTGCTCAATCCAAGCTTCCCACAACACAGATGACTCTGAAGACTCGTAGTTGTTTTAATTCTGTAAGTATGATTGCAGTGCTGTTTCATTAATGTTTCCCAAACATTCAAAACTTTCAAAATGTACCTACAATTTTGCTTAAGATTGGCAGCCCAGTGACTACAAGCACACTTAAAGCTGCTGATTGTTTGGCACGTTTTAAAACTACAGTACCATAGTCAAACCTGTGTTAAGCAGCACAAAACTAAGCACTCACCCTGTAATAAGCAGTCAGTTGTCAAAGTCCTGAAATTGTTCCCCCTTAATTGCAGTAACTTTTACCTCTATTTAGTGGTCACCTCCATTAAGTGGTCACAGTGAGTCATCCTTCAGTGAGTTTCGATGGCCTTTTTGTATAGTCCCCCACCTGTACTGAATGGTCAGTTAACCTGGAACCACTTAACACTTTAACTCCTATGAGTGAGCATGACAGAATTTCTCTTTAAAATATCAATACAATATCAACCAGACAAGTGATGAGAATAAAGAAAAATATCAATTTAAGGATAATTCGTAGATCCAATGCTAAATTCTCTGAACTAACATTATAAGAATTGTATGGTTTACAGTGAGAAGAATTACAGATTTGATCTGGGAATTAAAGGGTTACTAATCAAAACTACTTCAAAATTCTTTAAAGTGATTGGCTATCACCAGCCCGATTTGAACACTAATAAGGACAGTGTACATGTCATGCTTGTAACTGAGCAGTGTTAATAGAACTGTTAAAAGGAAAGTTAACATGTCATGCCTATGTAGGTGGACAGAACATGTCATGTGCACACACTGTTGTCTCACATTTCACCAAGTTAACTGTCAGTTTTTTTTCATGACAATGTATGACTGATTTTTAATTTCTTTCTCAAATTTCGTCTTAGTTTTGATTAATTGGTAACAGGACTTTGTTTCATCCAAATCTGTTTGTAATCATACTTGTGACTGACAAATTGGACCCCTACTTTGCGGTTGTCTCATTTTGTTCATCACCTGTATGATTACAGACCAAATTGGATTCCACTCAGTCCTATTACCATTATTAATAATTTTTGCAATAACATTTAATCCATCTTTACCTCCTAAAATCAAATTTCATTCCCTTAAAAAGAAATGTCTTTTTTAGCCTTTTTTTTTTAACTTGTTGAACCATGATTGTTTCAGTCTATAAATCAATAGGATTTGTCAAGTTTTATAGAAAGTTTTCTGACTTTAGCTCTGTTTTTGTGTCATTTCTTCAAGCTGTTCAATCTGTTGTTGATTATTCAATTTAGGGCAGTGGCGAGTACAAAGTTCAGATTGTTATTAACTCTTGCTCGTATTAAATCATTTCAGCCTATAAAAGTAGAACATCTGTATGGTCTGAGACGGAAAACTGGTGGTTCAGAGAATGAAAAGGTAAATAAAGCTTAATGTAGACACAAAGTAGACCTCAAATAAATTAACTTCATCAGTAAGAACAGGGTTTGTACCTGGCCTGGAAAGTCATGGAATTTTGGTTTAGGACCTGTAAAGTCATGGAAACTTGTGGAAAATCTGCGGTCATTCTTATGAGCTCAAAGCAGTGGAGATCTGTCTTTGAAAAATTAACCAATAAGTCAAAATGTAAGATTTAATTTCAGTAGAAATAAACATTAGCAGGTGTTGTAAGATCTACTCTTGCAGACATTTTTGTTTGCACTGCATTCTTGCGTGATATTTATGCAAATTTGTGAACCATTTGGAAAGGACCCAACAGTACACTTGCTTAACTTAGGTAATTTTTTTATTTTTTGAAAAGAAATGGAAAGTCATGGAATTCTCGCTGCTTAAAAAACGCACAAACCCTGTTGGAGTACAGGCAATTTTTGTCTATGGGTATTGGAGATTGAAGATTTCTCCTGCCACAGCTGTTTGGAAATTGTTTATCCAAGCATGGAGAAAATTCTCATGTTACTTCTCTTTAATCTTTAGTTAATACACTTTTCAATTAAAGCCCTGAAGTGGTTTCAAAATGTAGTAAAGACCCTTATGTTTGTTGAGCTGGGATTAATTTTTCTTCCAATTCATAGATTCCACAAGTTTCACAAAGTGGAATAAAACCTCCAGGATTTGGTTGTCAGCCAAGACGACGTCGCACAAGTTCATCTTCCTCTGTGTCTTCCACTTCTAGTGCTGTATCAGTTCAATCAAGTGACATGAATGAGACTTTTGTCATCTCCAAAGGTTCTTCTTCTGACATTTCATCTATTCCAACTGTCTGTGCACGCAAAGTTCCAGTTACTAAGGCCTGCTTGAAGCCAGTAAATGGAAATAGTGCATTGACAAAGCCTACCTTTTCCAGGCCTAAAGGACGACCTCAGCCAGTGAAAGCACTTCCACAGCCAGTCACTCACAGCAAGAAAGCTCCACCAACACCAACTGATGTTCTGAAATCAAAGAAGGTGCCTGGCCACACTCCTGGGCGTCGCTGGAGTGGAATGTGCTCTGAGCAAATGGTCACCAGGTCACAAACACCCAATAGCATACAGAGGTCCAAGTCATTTAATACACCTGTAAGGCAAAGTAGGAGTAACACTCCAACAGGCCAGGCTGTTAGACAGGCACAAACTCCCACTAAAGGGAAAAGCATGACAGTGCCTTTGACTCCAAGGAGAAGAGGTAGTGTCACACCAAGGGCTAGTACCTCAAAAGTCCAAACATCTGTGCAAAGGCGCAAAAGTGGTACAACAGCAGCTGTATCCTCAAAGGCTCACAACAAGAATGCCCCCCTACCATCTACACCTGAAAATGCATGTTATGCATCCACTGATAATGTTACTCCACCAAATCCAGGTAGAGATCATGATTATTGATGCAGTTAAATGCAATTTAATGGAGTTAATAACAAAGAGCATAAGCATTCTCTAGTGGTCAGCGGTTTTCTGCATATGCACATGTGTCAGAACTCCACATGCTCTTTGTTTGAGGCATTCATGTGTGTGCTTTGAGTGTGAACTTGCAGCATTGTGAGGAGTGCCAGCTCATCATCCAGGCAGTTTTCCCCATCCCTTCCCACTCTCTTTCCACTGTTTATTCATTGTTACAGGTGCCTGTTTCCCTTTCCTGTGAGGGGGCTCATAGCTGAGTTGCTAGGATTTGCCAGCCACAGGAGAAGTCTCCATCTAGGAGCTGGCTGTTAATAGTAGAAGTTCCTGGATGTTTCAGGCTCCCTACCTCCATTTAGTGATGCCTTTGTTAACTTAGTGGTAAACTGCCCTTCCTTGCAGAGCAAAACTCAATGCATGATTAGTACACATGTATGTTTCTGGGGTTGAAGGAAGCCAATCTCCAACTTTATTAGCACACAAAATGAACTTGGAATCACTTTTGTTTTGACAGATAATGATGGGTGCTCAGCCAACACTTAACATAGTGGGTTTGGGAATCAGATCAGAGAATTAAGAATTCCAAGGCTAAATTTCAGTGGGCTTGGAGTGAAGCTTTTATGTAACATATGCTCCTGTTACATAACACTTTCCCCCACCCCCACTAGTTTTTTTTAATGGAAATCCCTTGTAACTGTCACAGTTTCTTTACCCCTACTTACTTCAAGTCTATTTACTACTATTAATTTTTTAGCAGCTTCCAGCAATGTTTCAAAAAGAAAGTCACTGAGTGCAAATGGCCAAAAAAGACGCTCTCTTCTGCCAACTCCTTTGAAAAACAGGATCACTAGATCCCAGTCACAGAAGTCTAGATCAATCAGCATCAACAATGAGCCTCCTGGTTCCCTTTCATTCAGCTCCTCTCCATCAGCTGAAGTTAAACCAAGGAGTTCTGCCTCAAAACCAGACCCAAATCTGCAACTATCACACTCTAACACAAGATTATCCGATCCATTTTCTCCAGCTTCCCAGTTTGTTTCCATCGATCCGAAAAGTGTGAACACTAGTGACCATTCAGTTGCTGGAAATTTGATTGAATGGTCACCTGCTGTCGCCAGGGAAGTAAGTGCAATTATTGTAACACCACAGGTTTAAAGATTGGCATGGTACCAAAGATTGGGGAATGATAATAATTATAATGATGATAATGATAGTCTACAGTAACCCTCAAAAAAAGACTAGCAAATTCACAGTCTTGATCTTTGATACTATTGATATTCCTGACAGTAATGATGAGACACTTGAATTTAAGAAGGCTTCCCAAAACAAAGCTTCATTCTTATTGAGATCTTTTATAAGTTCTCTTTGTTTTCTTCCCAGTACTCAACAACTTACATCATCATTTCTTCTCTTATTTTTATTGCAGGGAAATCTTATTGACATATGAAGATATCAGAGGAATATATCTGGCATTTAAAGGCCAGATTAAGAGAAAGACCAGTTTTTCACATACACCTGTACAGCAAACAGGACACAATGCTATTCCAAAGAAACTAAATGTTAATAAAATGTGCACTTGTGAAATTTTTTTCACAAGTTGTCAAAGGAAATCACCTTAATGATTGTCAAACACATGTAGCATTGAGTTTTGTTGGGTATGCAATGTTTTACATGTATTGTTTTGTTAAAGGTACTAACTGGATTTTGTCTTGACATTAATACTACTGAATGTGCCTCACATTGAGATTATAAAGTGTATGATCATAACTTGGTACAGTGTATATCATTCAAAAATTTAACCATGGAAAGTCACAATGTAGCTGCTGCTGTCATGAGCATTCAAAATTAATATTGTTGTGACACTTCAAGTGAACACTCCACTACATCTGTGGTGCTGCAAGCTTGATATACTGGTATGTTGAAGAATTTTAGAGATAAACCCTTTAACTCCCAAGATCTGCTTGTTACTTCTCCTTACTTGCTGTTATACATTTCCTTGTAAATTAGTTACAAGACTTTGTTGTTGGAACAAGATAACAATTTCTACCTGATAAGTTTTGAGTATTGTTTATCATCTGTTTGCTGGTTAATGTATGGATATTATTGAGAGAGGTCATGTTATAATTACTTCTTGGAGTCAAAGGGTTGACAGATATGCCAAAGGGCATAGTTTTGAATTTCCAAGCCTGTATGTTTACAAAAGTAGGGATTGTAAAATAAACAATATATTCAATTTCATTTGATCACTTGGCTACCACATAAACCTTTGAACTTCCTTAGGACTGTGAGCCCAACGAAATGGTTTTTCCAAGAACAAGTAGAAAGTAATTGCATTCACAGCTATGTATAACATGCATTCTAAAGCAACTCTTGTATAAGACCCTAGTGGACTGTGAAGCCGATAGAAAATGTATGGGATGATGTAGTACCGAAATTCCAACAGTTTTTGGGGGACAGTAACCATGGAGACACAGATGTAGAACATAGCTAGCCATGTTCTTGGTTGTTTTAGAGATAATTGACGGTGAATACAGTATCCTGAAAATATATACAAAGGTGTAAGAGCATATTTCACCACCCAATGCCTGGCATAAAGTTTCCGCCAAATATAAAATGGGTAGTGCCGATTGTCAGCTAGAAGATACTCATGCACATATGTAAATTTGTAAATGATTAAGGTTATGGAAACTGCAGATAAAAGTAACCCAATAACATACAATGGTTTCTTGACAATGTTTTTAAAGGTTTTCAAATAGCTTACAATGTCTTGTGGCAAAAGCAGCTGGGAGCTACTGAATGCAAGGGTAAAAGTCAGAAGGTAAAACAACTGTGGGAAATTTAAGCATGCCTGGTGCTGACTCTTATCACCAACTACGATTCCACCATTCATGACCACAAAAATAGCAAAACATGCTACAACAAAACCATAGGCCCAGAGATATCTGAACATCTTGAAAAAGTTGTGGTAAAATGATTTGATATATTCCTTCAGTTCTGTGAAAAATGTTGATGAAGCTGTTTCTTTCTCAACTGATTGTAAAGTTCTCAATGCAGTCACTCCAGCTGTGAACACCACCCATATGACATTAGTTTGACGCACGGCAATTGATGCGGCACCAATCAGGGCTGCAATGAAATGGTTTCCACGGAGACTGAGGTAATACAGTAGAAGAACAAAGAAAGTGGAGCTTGAATCAGTGTAGTAGAGGAATGTAAAGAAATACATCACAGGGAATAATGCCAGGACCAAAGCCGTCACAGAACATTTAATGGGTGAAGAGATCTCTTCTTCTGTGGGTTCATCTCCCTGTTCAGAAAAAAAAAATGTAATTAATGACCACCAATTGTTACGCAGTAACAATTTTGAGGCTGAGTTCACTAATGTTATTCACTGAATAACATCTTTCACTCAAACCACCAGGCTTAAATTTACCATCTTTATTTACACGTACATTGTCATCATTTATAAGCATCAGTGACACTCTTATCCTCGCAGTATGCAGGAAGTTTGTCACCATGGACCTTAATGAACAGCTCAGCTTGCCATGAGTTTCCCATGGCTCAGTAATAAAGCATTTAAAGTGTACAGAGTACTAATCAGAAGGTCACTGGTTTAAATCATAATTAGTAGAACTTGGAGTTTTTTCTCCAAGTGTGCCTCTGTCATTAACTGAATAGCATCTTCAACAATTTCCTTCATTTGACGATCAAGCTAAAAGCTCTAATTATACCAACTACACAACACTTTCCAAATTTCTGATCCATGCAGAATGCTTAATGCATATAAACATAGTCATGACAGTGAACTCAACAAGGAGTTCTCCGTCGCTCTTTTGTTTAACCCTTGACACCCAAAATCAGTATGTATTTTCTCCTTACTGTTCTCGACACATTTCTTAAGGTACTAACAAGAAGAAATTACAGAAAAATTTCCGCACAGCCCCATACTTCATTATGCATGCACGTCTTATTGGTGATACACTGAATATAAAGCCCCATTTATGGATGCATAATGAAGTATGGGGCTGTGCGGAAATTTTGCCAAAATGACTTAACAATCAAGAGCCTCTTTAGATGGTGATCTTATTCCTTCATTCTCGTGACCGTAATATTTCATTCAGGGGTGATTATTGTAAGGAGAAATTAGATGCGACTCACTCCAAAGGTCGAAGGGTCGACATGGGATCTCAGATGTGAAGGTCCAGCTTTCGATACCTAGTGAGTGACTCAGACCCCACCGTCCCCCTTTCCATTACATAAGTGTTCTGATACCGCACGTTTACGCAAGTACGCAAGTGATTGCGTAAGAAAGTACCTGAGTCCTTTACACTATTCATAAAATTCGAAAACCGTACCTGACGTGACTGTCGAGTATTATCGCAGTGAAGAATTAACAGGATCTGCCTCAGAAGCAACACGTTACCCATTAGGAACAAAGTATTAACCATCCGTAGAAAAAACGTCGAACACACTACACGTAATTCGTGTCCAACGAAAAACGCCAAAGTTCGCAAACATGCGAAGGATATAAAATACAATCCTGGCAATGTTGTTATCTTTGGATCCCATTCATCAAACTTGTAGTTGCAGTATTTCTGGGCCTGGGGGACATGGAAAATCTCATCCATATACGGCTGTGACTGTTTTGTGTTAAATTGTAGGAAAATACCCATAGAAACTGCAAATAAACTGGAGTACCATGCAGAGAACGAAAAGGCCGCCATTTTGAATGAAAGCACCAAAGCATTATGGGAGCAGACGAACCAGCTCCAGGGTCTTGGAGTAAGCTGCTAACTTTTACCTGCACTAGATGCGAGGGGGCCCGTTGTTCCTCTATACGTTTCTTATGTTTATCTATGATGGTAGAGAATTTCTTAAGCTGGAGATCATTTCCTTTCCTCTCCTGACCTTCATGCTTGATCAGTAGCGATACTGTAAAAAGAGAATTTAGATTATAGTCACTCTTAGGGGTTAAATCGACGACAGGGTTACAAGGATGATCACCGAGGGACTGGAAACAACCTTCTATCTATCTATCTACTTCTTTAAAATTCCGAAGAGTTTTAACAAATATGTGTTTCTCAATGTCAATACTACAAGTTAATGGCACAGAGCACCCAGTCACGGAAATCTAACGTGAGAATATGGAAACAGCCCCTAAAGTAATTATGCTTGAACAGTACACTTTATGATCAAAGGTACCACTACCACTTGAAAATTATTTATTGCTTCGGGGGAGGGGGACAGAGGATTTTGAGGGATCACAGGGAAAGGGGGACAGTCGTTCCTAACAGGGTGTAAAGGGAAACTAAAGAAAATTGGCACTGCTAATGATGGGGGGGGGGGGAAGGGGGGGAGGGGAGGGAGTAAGGGATCATCAGAATACTGACCTGACTTGGAGATCAGATAACTTCTATTGGGACAAAACCAAAATTCTTCACCCACCCCCTCTCAGGCCATAAATAATGACCGCCCAGTACGATACACATTTTACTGAACGTTGCTAACTCAAATTGCGTGTCATTTCAGGAAATGGTTAAGACTTATCAGTATTTAAACTCGATTTATTGCGAGGGGTGTTTTTGCACCCCTATAAGTGAATATTGTGAAACAAAGTACTTTAAGCCTGTTAAAACCCTTAGACACGGATCTAAGCTTCTTAGAGTTTGTCTAAGGTTAAAGCTGGGCAGTAAGATTTGATAGCTATGAAAAGCGTGCACACGAAGGAAAAAAAACTCGCTAAAGCGATCGAAATTACCCACTCAAAAACTAAGGTAGTTGCCCCGTGGCTCCATGATTGCGTGAGTTTTACCCTCTCATGCCGTCAGCTAATGAAATTAAATGAACTGCAGATCACTTCCGTCAATAAGCAGCATTTTAGGCCAATCACACGCTTGCGTGTTTCATAGTGAATTTAATTAGCTTCGACTGAGTAATAAGGGTCATTTACTCATCTCGACAAGGTGCTTGTTGGATAGCAGGTCTTTGCCACTTAGCGACTGAGCCTTCTTTGCACTCTCTGCATAAATCACAAGACACAGGTAAATGGTATGCTTTGTAGCTTTATTTTGAATCGTGAAACATCCGACAGATATGTTTTAAGATTTTTTCAGAACGACAGCGTGCTAAAGTTGTTAACTTCGCATTTGTTTACAATGTCAATTACAGCCTTGATTTGTTGGGCAATCTCTGATCACTTGTTAACGCACCCAGGGTGCTCTATGCGGCCTAAATAAAACAGCTTGCAGCAGTAAACGGTTTTCATTCTCGATCACAAAGTTATCCAAGCTTCAGATCACTCGGCTTTGTCTACAGTAAAGAACATTTTCATTATGATAGGGGTGCAGGACAAAAGAGAGTTGACTAACCTTGTTTCACAATTGAGTGATCGTAATAGCATTATATTGGCGATTCACGCGAGTGTTTCAACACGTGTGTAATTAAGCTCTCACAAGCAAGAAGATGAGGTAGATTTTGTATTTCGCTCTGGTTCCCAACTGGAAAGACTTCGTTACATGTTTTTGTTTTCAATTCTCTGAAGGGTTAGCGAACGGAAATGACATTTCTATGAAGTATTAACGAACCACGTTTAGTCCACTTCAGTCGCCTGTTATCTCCCTTAAATAACATTTGGCGTCCATATCCGTAACAAAAAAGCTTATTAATCTCAGTATTTAACAAAACGATACCGTTTTATTGCTTCTACAACCAAATTATAGGCTGAAAAATTCAGAATACCTCAAGCGGTTTTGTTTGCTTCATGTCACCACTAGTTTAAGTGTACTGTATATTGTCCTCGAGGGTCAAAAAAGCAGCCTTCTTAAAATACATTGGAAAAAATCCATCAACAGGAAAAGCCATTTTCAAAAGCATTACAGTTGTTTTAGTTAAATTTTTTATTGCGATTTAAAGGGAAGTTAAAGAGATTTTTCTATGCAAATAGTTGCTCTCTTATGATGAAAGAGTTAAAAAAAATGAAATACAATCAGAAACATATTTACGCTACGGTTGAGTAGAACCGTCCCCTTTCCTTGAAACCTGTCGAAATAATTTAGCTCTCCTCATATCTAAACCGCGATTAGTCTGATAGACAGTCACTGTTTGAATGGTTCCTACACACAATGCCGCGTGGATTGTGAATCAAGGAATCTCAGTGATTTTCAACTGGCACAGACAAACGTCTTTTGACCATTCCATTCTCTAAAACCACAAGTGCTTCAGGCACTTGGTTAAAAAAATCACTGAATTTAAGTACCTAAGTATCAAATATTTACACACACAAAAAAGGCATCGAAATGCGATTTGTTTCAGAGTTTAACTAGCGATAAGAAGTCGCAAGTCATTTTCAACCGCTCGAGAAAGGTTTTATTTTTGGAAAACACGGAAAAACCCCGGTATTAAAAGAACGTAGACACGGCTTTTCTTGTGTAAGTTATTGATAAGAACACTTGCTGAACTCCGTGGGGTGCTGGTTTCTTTTATTTCGGCTGAATATTCTTTTTCCAATTGTTTGCATTCAAGTCATACTTGTCTATGTCGTTGAAATGGGTTCCGTTAGTACAAACATTTGCGGCCAGGACAAAGGTTATAGACTCTAATTTGAGTCTGTAATTAAAAGGGAGACCGACTTTTCATAGAACAAATTCTATCTTAACCATTAGCATCTCTAAACAAAGCTATCTGTAAATTTTATCGTGCTTTTTTGTTTTATTTGTGGCCAGTTTAGATCAGTTATCATTTTTAATTAGCCTGCAGAAAGTTTATGAAGAATAGTTTGTTTGAATTTTGAGTAATTTGATTTGAAGGCCAATTATATCTTTTGATTTTTTTTAACGTTCGGTAAAATCCTAAGGGCCTTTTACGTTTGTCTGATCATTATGCTCTGTCTAGCTGCCAAAACACCTAAACAATGTACAAAAATCGCTCAAAAATCCTAATCTCCTTTTCAGAAGAATTATTGATTAAGATGAAGCGGGTGCCACGGCATCGCGCCTAACATCGTTTAATGTTTGAATCACATTGCAATATTAATTAAAAATCGTACAAATCACCACTGATAAAGTAGTTTTTCGAAAACTCGGGCACAAGAATGACGAACGAAATCCCAGTTTTTCCAAGGCATTTCAGAAAAATGAAACCGACAAATTGAGCTACCTTGAAAATCAGCCTTTATAGTTTATCTTAGAGACTGCGACCTTAAGCAATCAGGATGGCAACACCGAAGAAGACATCGATTGAAAAGGAATTTATAATTTAAGTTGGAATTTTGCTTAGGGTTAGATGTGTTTTCCGTCTCTTACGACGCTAGACCCCGACTTCACCAGCAGCGTTAACTTAGATATACGATTTGCTATCGGGGTTTATGTCCACAAACTACACAAATTTTGAAGGTCTCACGTTGTTGTTTTGCAGAAGACGGCTGAGAAATGTACATAGTTTGAAAACGCACGCGCTGAGCTTTAATTCTGCCCATTAGAAATCAGTTTTTTTGCTATGTTCTCGTAGCCGTCACCGCCGTGGTTTCATGCTCAGGGGCCCTATTATGATAATCAAAGCCTCACAAAATTTCTGGAAAAGTGTTTCTGGTTGTGTGGAATTCAGAGAAATTCCATGAAGCAAGTGACTGCGTTGTCAAATTGCGGTCGGTTTGTCGATGGCGCGTGTGGTTGGCTTCTCACCACATGGATTCCCTCGTCTTATCACCTCTTCGGCCTCTCAGTTCACCTTTTAATCGTCTTCTTGGCACCTTATGGAATGTGCCATCGGGCTTGTCGCGGTCGAATTGGCAACATTTGCTTCATGTTGCAAACACCTAAAATACATGATTTAAAACATGTGTGTTTTAGTACACAATGACTTCGATTGAACCACAAACTCTTTATCTGTGGGAAAGTTCATATCGCATGGTTGTCACAAAATCGTTGGATAATTAGCCAGCAGAGTAGAGCTTGATGAAAATGAAAGCTGCCATCTTTGGTTCTTACAGCGGCGGAGACTGGGGAGAGATATAAATTTGTATCAAGGGGTGAGCGACAGTAAAAAGGAGTGAGAGGGGAGAGGTGGGGCAATAGAAATAACTGCGTCTTCTCACCTTTCTCAGTCCCCTCCCCCTCCTCCCACCATCCACTCTACATGGCCGGTTTACTAAACGATCTTTATTCCCTTGGTAAAACACCTGCATTATGGGGGGGAATGGGGGTTTACAGCATGTCACACCCGGACTACCCAATCAGTTGTTATGTTGACAGACATGCACGCTGTATTTTATTGATTGTGAAATTTTTCAAGCTGTGTATATTGTTCAGATTCGCTGGCTCTCTTTGTACGGAGATTATATGATTTGAATTTTGAGTGAATTTTTGAAAATTCATCTCTCAAAGGGTGGTAAATGTCACGGGGGGAGGGGGGGGAGGGGGTTTCACGAACATCTCTCCAGGACTTCCCCCTAAACAAACCTATTTCTTGCCAAGAACTCGCAATGATATGCGATCTGTTTTTGCTTCAACAAGGCAGCTCTCAACGGTGATCACCCGGAACCAAATCATGGATTTGATCAATTATTTGTCCGCCGAAGAATGGCAAATTGCAGAAGGAGGGAATTTAGAAGGTACAGAAATGGTGGTTACATTAAATCAAATGGATCTGACACACACTGTGCAACATTGAGTGTTACCATAGAGCTAAAAAAAGCTTATTCATCTAGATACTTCAAATATTTTTTCTTCATTCACAACTGAATTATGAATTACAACTCCAAAGAAAACAGAGTTGGGTTAGGACTTGCATAAATCTGAAAAGCGTGCGTAGTCTTTACCCTGCAAAATAATTTCTTTGCGCGCGTGTTTGACACGCATGCACCCCCTTGCACCGCGAGTTTCTTCCACTTCCGTGCCTTATGGAAAGATGCTCGCGTTAGCTCCTTACTTCTTCTCGTCATGCTAGTGATCTGCTAGTGCGCGCGCAACCCTCGCTTCACGCGAGGGTTAGGCGCGCTAAACCCTACACCCTAACCCTAATCTTTCTCCTTCCTGTTGCATAGGCAAAAATCTCGGTAATAGGTGAAATTGAAGGTGAGAGAAATGATGAAGTAACAAACTCAATGAAATAAACCTTCACAGGTTTTGATGAATACCGCATCATTCGCCGAGCCTCAGAAGGCCAGGGCAAGTACAAATATTCCGCCTTCGATCCGAAAAAGGAACTTCCTGTGGAGCTCCACATTACTGGAGCGTCAGAATCCAGAGATCCCTTGAAGGAAATCCAAGTTATAAACCTGCGCGTCGACGGTAACAAATATATCACAGGGATAAACGACAATGGGGATTGTGTCGTAAGGAAATAAGTGCACCCTATAACATTCAGTCAAAGTTTTTCGATGCACTGAGAGAATAGCTGAATTGTAAAATTTTTAAAACGTCTTCATTATTTCCGATACCTTATACTGCAGACGGGAGTCTTTAAGCTATGACGTCAAGTTATTTTACGAAAGTCCGTGAGTTACTCTGACTAAATGATTTTGATAACCCTTAGAGTTTAAAAATCAATGAAATAGTGATTAACGAGCATATGGAGAAATATGAGAGAAAATTCAGACTTAAATAGAAAAAAAAGAAGGCTTGACGTAATCTGACGTAATCTGCGTCAGGCCCTAATCATTAAAGCTCTTAAAGACGCGCGTTTCGCCCTTGGGTGGATTCAAGACGAGTCAGGGAGAGGTTCTCCGGGGATCGGACCTTCATTATAAGTGCTAGAACCCTGCCAGACCTCTCGACGATTTGTGTTGCTCAAGGCCTCATATGGGCTCGATTCCCGCCGCTCTCTCCCGTCCGGTCTTCGCTCCTCCCTGAGAAGAGCCAGCTCGACGCTTCAAGGGGAGGAACGCAGGCTCATATTACCGAACAGCGACTGGTAATCGAGCCTAGACTTCACAATTCCCGCTGGCAAAGAAGAGCTCGTTCTGAAGCGCTAATAATGAGGGCCTGAGACTTGACTACACCCTTGAAAAACAGAACAAATCGCCTCAAAAAATTTACGTAACTGTCTCTGTGAACTAGGTAGCTACAACAGTAAAACTCATTTTCCTTTACCAGATATATTTTGTACAGACATAAAGATTATCATCAAAAGTATCTTTATCAAGGTCAGCAAATTCTTAGGCCTCCCGTGAAGGAGTGCGAAGAGTAACAAAAAGGGTGCAAAAAAAACTCTTTAAATCTAAAACTACAGTATATTGCGAGGAGTAACTTCTGGATAAAAACAACAAATTCTTGAAGCAAAATTATGAGAAATGAATGACAGACAATGCAGAAAATTTATATTTAGATCTAGAGGCGTTGAATAATGAACTTTTTATGATTATCAGCGAGAACAAGAAAACATTCACAATTACTGCCTAATTGTGTGTTTGAATTTGAAACAAATTTCTAAGGATGTATTCATTATAAATTAGAATAAAGGAATTTTTATTTCATGTTTTCGCTTTTAAAAACTCTCTTCAAGTACCCACTAGATGTCACGCAAAAGAGGGTTGTGTGGGATGTCACGCGATGGAAGGCTGTGTGACATCCTGATGTACAGTTGGTATGTAGCCCGCGCAGCGCAGAGCAAGTTTTTGATGCTTAGGAGTCATCCTTTTACCGAAACTTTGGACAAAGAGAATATATCAGAGAGTTATGAAAAACTGAGTGGCGGTCGGAAATGGGGGTGCAGGGAACCTTCAATTTTCAATCCTAAATCCATTGTAGAGAAGATATGTCCAATAAAACGACGCATGCCCTCTTTCGATTTCTCCCCCTAGCAAGGACAAAATAATCACACAATAACTCGAAATCACGAGACAAGCGCTTTAATGTTCGTTTATAAGTATTCCATAACGATCAAAACCAAGAACAAAAACAAAAACAAATCTTGCAGGACAGAAAATTCTACATATGCGTCAACCCTTTTGAAGGAAAGTCATTATTGCTATAACGTGGAATTTGAAACGCTTAACTGTTTCACGTCATAATACATTCTCTTGGGATTTGGCCTGGTGTGCTGACACTAAATACTGACAAGAGTAAATAAGGTCTCATTATTTTCTCCTGATTCTGGATCACTCTTTCGAATGAGACCTTTTTTACATTAATTGACAAAGATTCAAACAACAGCTTTATCACTTTTATCTCAGTGATGGAGAAAGTACAATAAAAAATAATAGAACTCTGAGGCGAACAAGTGAAAAACCAGTTTCAGTGCTTCAATCTGCTCAGGGAAGTTTAGCTTTGCTCAAGCTATGGCTGTGATTTTATTTGTGTACATGCCTTCCTGCTTTTAAAAAAAAAAAGTAGTATTAACCAACTTGATTAAAATGATGCGAAACAACACTTCTGTTACTTAAAAGTAAGCTTAGTAAAAACCACACATGCGAATAATGCTTTTCACGCACGCTGATTGGCCGGTTCGGAGTGATAAGAAAATACTATTCACCTCCAAACAGCCGAAGAGACAAAATCGTACGTCAACAATGAAATTTTCGACCATTTTTGGGGGGGTATACTAACAGAAATAAACAATTTTTTCGTTTTTATGTGATATATTCTAAAATAATTATTCACCTCAGTGTCGGTGAAAGTGTTGAATATTCACCTCGCTGCTGTGCGGCTCGGTAAATATCCACTTCTATATTCACCTTTGTGAATAATCGATAATTATTGGCCACGGATATCATAAAAATAATTGGAAAAGACAGAAAAGATGAGAAGTCTAAAAGATAATTCTTAATCGCTTTACATGAAATAAGGAAAATATTTATCTCATATATACAGTGTTACCTGCGGCAAAAAGGTTCCCTTCCAAAGGAAAGGAACCTCTATGTGCACACGACTTCTACCTAGAGGTTAAATATAGAGAAAAAGTTGTATCCACGTCCAAAGGTTCAATATGAAATGTTACACAAGCTGTAACAATAGGCATAGTTTACTGGTAGCCTCGTTTCGGTATCAACTTTAGGGACGGACATTTGCATAACGAGGCAGTTTTGATGTAAATCTTGAAGGCAGATATTAAACAAGACTTAGTTTCTTGGGCCATGAGATTTCTTCGTAACTAAACACAAGCTGAGATACACTACTTTCACAATTAACGATTCTCACAAAACAGTTAAAGTGCATTTCTGTGACAAAATGATTGGGACTCTTGATCTGTGATCAGATCTTCACAACGCAATCTCCGCCATTTCTGATCCCAGTTATAAAGACCTTGTTTCCATCCGCGCGCGTCACGATCTCCAACATGCGGTATTCTTTCAGCGGGTCTTTCCTCTCGTCACCGCCCTCCAAATGAAATATCCTCGGAGGGGCGTCGTTATCGTCAGCGGCACGGACAGCGTATTTATAAACGCTTCCGTCTTTTTGGGAACGTGTGATAATGTACTCTTTGAATTCTAGACCTGAGGAAAAGGGGATTTTGTTTAACCTTGCAATTCGTAATGGTAACTAATGTCTAATTTCCCCTCACAGCATCGCTGCTGAATCAAACGCTATGGTCATGAGAATCATGGAAGGAAATGATCACCCATTAGATTTTTTACACCCGTACTTCAGTATGCATATTCTCCATGCTGCTTAATATATGTTTCCTAAGGCGCTGTCAAGCAGAATTTGTTGAAATATCAACAACTTCTTTAGTTGGTGATCGTTTCTTTAGTCATTGGTAGGAGTCAAAGGGTTATGAAAGCTCTTTACTGCTTATTAAATTCTGCTTTTTAGTAATAATATAGAGAATGTGCATGTTATTATTATGGTTTGAAGGGTTACAGATCACAACTCACCAGGCCATGCGCGTCATCACGAAGAATGATAACGCACGCTATCGTGTTTTGTTAGCCAACGAGCGGCCCTCATTATTATCTCTTCGGTAAGAGCATTTCTTCACTTACGGGAAAGTATGAAGCCCTGAGCGACACGAGCCGAAAAGAGGTCTGCAAGAAGTCTGGCATTGATTAGTTCCAGACTCCCGTCAAACTTCTCCTTGACTCGTCTCCAATCTTCCCTCGGGCGGAAAACGCGAGTCATGAGAGCTTGCGCGCATGCTAGTGATCTGCAAGTTATTTTGTGTCTTTCTAAGCCGCAAACGGGAGAGTCTAATTTTTTGATCAATTTGATAGAGTGAGGCTGTAAGTATACCGCCAATGAAAAGTGCTTTCTATTATTATAATTACTGAAAATAACGTCAGAAGAATACGTCAGCTTTGCTGAAAAACTTGAGTTGAAAACTTTGAAAGAATTGTTACAGATAATGAAAAACAAATAATCTCCAACAAATGCCATTAATTCCTTTCTTCAATTCAAACCTTGCTGGGCTGAACATTGGTATCTAAAAATCATGCTTTAGGCATGCATTTGATTGGTTCACGAGACGGCGCGAGATTCGACGCAAAAGTCGACGTGTTAAAAACATCCCGACCTTTGAATGGTTAGGAAAAAAGGCGAAAAATTTTGACATCTCGGGCGTTTTCTGTTTGTTTGTTTGTTTGTTTTTTTTACCGTCGACTATCTACCTACCATCACTAGGTGAATTTCCTACTTGCTGCCAGTGTGTGCTCGAAAGATTGTTGATCAGACTCATTCTTGCTTCTACTTGACAACCTACGAGGATAGAAAATCACCAAACTTGGTTTAAAAGCTCAGAAGGACCCTCGGCTCGGGGGAAGGGTGGGGGGGGAAAGGAGAGGCATAAGAGCCTCATTGTCCCAGATTTTGAAAAGTGTGGGAAATACGAAGATTTGGAGGACGAAATAAGACGCGTTGCAAGAGAAACGGCAGAAATGAGCTTAAGATTATTGGGGTCGGGTAAAATTTGGCAAAATCCATAAATTTTCAACATGTTATTTGCCATCTGTCCATAATTCCCTGAATGCACTTTAAAGAAGACGTTTTTTTTCAGCGACGCAGAGTAGCCGTGTGGTTAGGCACTAGTTAACAGTTATCATCGCCGGGTGAGCGGTAGTGGATTTTTGGGGAATCACATGTTTTTTCAGGGGAATGGATGGGGTATTAGCCTTCTCGGTTCGCCCGAGTTCAGTGCCTTGGCTTTGTTATGAATGAAGCCAACTGGTCTGTCTCCCGCCAATTGGGATTTTTAAACACTATGTTTATTTAAAACGTTTGTTTCTAATGTGAATATTTCCAATTTGTCACATAGTTTGCAATACGCTTTAGATCATATCTTCAGTGTTCACTTGCGCCATAGAAGTATTCATGGGTGCTGTCTGAACAAAATTTCATGGATCTGTATCAGAGGAAATTTAGGGTGTTTCCATAGACAGCTGACCGAAAAGCCCGTGGGCCCAAAATACAAACATCTGTTTTTCAGAATTGGTGTGTCGGGGGAAAACAAAGTTGCTTTGATTGAGACGGGAATGAATTAGCCGTTGCTTATCGAATGAAATTACAGAAATAACTCCCCATAGTGACATCCCCCCTACAGAGGCCAAGTTAAAAATTTCTGCAAAACCACAAAATGCATACTTGTAACTGTTGTCAGTTTGCTGCCCCTTCATTATACAGAACAGCAACAAACTTACCTGTTCGTGAATTACATCTGACGCATTTCATTTAATAGCTAGCGAACATCAACGAAAAGATTAGATAATTCGCTTTGAGTTAATAGCTTCATTGACCAGAGAAAGATTTAGTTTGGATATTAACACTTTCGAGGCGCGAAGCTCGACGGCAAGAGCAATTTTATACCAAAAAGACGCTTGTATTTATGTAGTAAAAGTATGTGATCTTTTCAGCCCTAGCAGAGCGCCATTTCAGTCATGTTAGGACATTTCTGAGAAACAGATGTGAGAACAGATGTGAAACTGGTGTCATTAGTAACAAATAATTAATATGCAAATTACGATCATTGGTAAAGAGTAATTAGGATTATGCTCTCTTTCCACGCAGACAAACAACAGATGACTGTTTCAAATCTAATTGCGAGTCTCCCTCCAATTACACTGATGTTTTTTGTGTCTGCTTCGCGAAATCGATCTGCCTGTATTTTTGAAGTGTGCGAAAGGGTTTAAATTAGGGTGTAAATGACTGCTAATATGTAAACAAAACAACACATTTTTGCAACAGATAGTTATCTAAGCGTAAAATTATCACAAATTGAACTGGTAAAAGCTAGTACTGTGCGAATCTTTGATATTTTCTGAAATTCGAAAAATTTCAAGGGCTTTCTCCAAAGCCTCGATATTTCAGCTTCAAGACTTGAAACTTAATCGTGATTGAGTATGTAGCGGTTCAAGAGTATTCCTGAAGAACACAGAAATAGTTTATCATAAGGATGCAGTTTTTTTTTTTCAACACATGCAAGTTTTCCAACGCTTTCCAGTAGTCGGCTCCCATGTTATGATTCACGTTCTCCCTAGGATTTTTCTTAAAACTGAAAGAAGCCCTTGAAAACTGCGATTTCAACCAAGGTGTTAATTTGCTCAGGTGTAACTCGCAATGGGGTGTCCTTTAAGCGTAGATAAACAAATAGAGTTTTTAACTGTTTCAAACTGACGTAAAACATACCCGTGATTTCGTATTTCTTACCACCTCATCCCAGTTCAAGTAACAGAGGCTGGTGAAACTTACTGCTACTTTTAATCTGACCGGTTTGTCAAGATGAGTGTTAGAACAATTACGATTTTTGAATCTATCTAATGACAGCATTCTTTGTTTTCAGTTTGTAAATGGTCAAAATAACACATCACATCAAATCTTTCCCATCGATCTAGGTAGTGATAAGCGCTCGAAATAGTCTGTTATTGTATAAACATAAAAAAGTGTACATGAAACTGTAGTTATGTTGCCTCCGCGCGTAGTCACAATTCTCTGATTCACTAACCGGGGCGGTACAAAGCGGAAGCGCTCTCATTTTTTTTTTCTGGACACGTGTACAAGTTATGGGAGCGTTCCCATTCAGTGTTTCAAACGATTAGCTCTAGATAGACAAAAACAAACCTCACCTGAAGGTTTAAAACGCTAAAGGGCAAATCACAGAGTCGCTTGAACGTCACAGCTTGACAGTCTACCTCTCGAATGACGAATAACACAGGTTTTTTGCTAGATATAAATTACCACTTGACAAATCTGTCAATCATTTTGTGTCGACTATTGTTCTCGAAAAGTAAAATATTTCAGTTATCAGCAAGCGAGAATCTAAACCAATAGGGCAATATAACTGTTGTTTCGAAACTTAAATGCTTTTATTCAACTCTACAAACGTGTACACAGTGATAGAAATTGATCCAACTGCGTATAGACCCAACTAAGGAATAAACCCACAGGCGACAAAATGGTTGGTTAGATTCCTACCGAGATGGACGGACAATATTTACTACACCCCCTGTGGTTTGTTTTTCTTTTTATGGGCGACACACAATTGCTTCTGAAAGCAATGTAATCATTTTAGTCTCAGGTTTCGAGCAGTTTTCAATCGAATGTCGAAAGTAGCCAGGACTTTATTGGTTTTGCTGTACCACGCCCTGTGATTGGTCCAATGAAACTCGCGCCAACCTCTCCACCAATTAGATGCAGAACTTACACCCAAACGCGACTCGGCACTCCCGTTTTCCCGCACTTTTGCGTGTTTTTACTTTGAATTCTCATTGGCTTCTTGTGGTATTTTTCTTCACGGTGATTGGTCGTTGCGATTGCTTTATCGAGTGTCGTGCAACGGCCTAAATCGACAGAACAGAGCACAGCCGAGGCTTTGCTATTTGTTAAATAAATGTTATTGGGTAAAAGATTGATTTCTTTCTATTTAGTCCTTCTAATAATAGTTCATTAATATTACGCAGCATCTTTGGTTGCTACTCGTGTGATTACGCCGTCTTGCAGCGAACTGCATTGAAGTTCCTCGTCTGAAATACCGTAAATCTGAAAAGAAAAATAAAATGATAGAGTTTCTAAAAAACCTTAACAAATTGTGTACATAGAAACATCTTCAAATATTCATTGTTGACCCATCTGCTCCCATTTTGATGATAGCAACATCTGTTTGTCATTTTCGCACTTACCGTAGTAATTACAAATAAACTGATAAATTACTCCAGATTATTTCTTGATAGCAATCACTTCGGGAATGAGTACAGTAGATCTCAAAATGAAATACATCAGTTACCTTCTTTATTTTTTCTTGGTCAGAAATTGTGCTCAATGCAGTTATAGAAACTTGTTCTCCATTTATAAATTTACTGATTTCTGAAATCTGTGGAGAAATTAAAAATAATGTGTTTGTTCAAATAATATATACAAGTCCCTTAATGTTCAAAACTAAGCAATTTATACCAAAAGTTTAGACTTAAAAATCAACTTCTTTCTTTTTCTATTTTCTTTCATTTAAGTTCCACAGTTTTTAGGCCCCAAACCTACTGTACAAATTAAACTTAGAAATTCTCTGAGAGCCTTAATAAACTTTGTATGTCCAAGTAAATCATATCTTTGTCACGAACTTTGCGTTCAAGAATCTGTCTCAAAAAAATAATTAACACATAACATTAATATTCCAGAAGACATGAATTATTTCTAATAGTCACATGTAGCTGAATTCCTCGATTGCACAAGTGTCAATGCTGTGCCCTTCAAAAGTAAAGCTATGCACAAATAACACCATACACATGGTGGCGAATACAACTTGCTATTCATTTCTGAACTAGCCAATCAGCACACATGAAAGGCACTATTCACTTGTGTGGTATATTCTAAATACTAATATCACAGTCAAGAAGTAGATGACTGTCTGATGTAGTAAAGTTTTAAAAACTAACAAATGTAGATACCAGGTATGAAACTTATGCAAACCTTTTTGTTGGCATTTTCTTGAGTCACAATGACAACTAACACACTTGTTGTACTGTCCAGTATTCCAAATTTCTTGAAAGATTCATTTATCTGAAAACAATGATATAAGATATTTCACACCAGTTTGATGGATAATACCTTCTTTTCAATGACAAGATTAATATCCCAGCCATTCTTAGATTCTCCTTTTCCCAGGGTGTTGAAGATTTGACTAAGCTCTCAAAATAATCAAAGGTGAGAATTCAACTCTTATAGCGGAGCTCACAGAGCATAGCCCTATAATTATACAAAATAGTAGTAACCCATCAAGCCGAAAAAATTTGGATGTACAACTGTACGACCATACAAGGTGCTACTTTTAACATGCGTGGTCAACTGTACCACAGGCACACCAATGCCACGGCTTTGTCCAGTAGTCCAGTGGTCAGTGCACTGGGCTCCAAGTCAGACAACCCGGGTTCTAGTCCTGGCCGGGGCAAGGCGTTGTGCCCTTGAGATGTGCGGGAAAAAAAAATGCAAGCTCCGCTTTTAGGCTTGGCTGAATCTATATTAAGGAAAGCCTGTATAGGCCTCTGTGAGGATGGTACCATCAGTTTTAATATGTTTCTCTGATTCTTGGGCAAAAGATTCAGTTCCAAACTCACATAAATTCATTATGATACAGGCATATATTAATAAAAAGCTCCATTCCATCAATACTATAATATGTATTACTCAACACTCAGGCCAACTGGCCCATCTAGCTGCAATTCAATACTGTTTCCGTAGAATGAAGTGACTAAGAGTACAACAACCCCCCCCCCCCCCC